TGGGCTCGGGGAGGCGGGGCCCACGTGGAGGTGAGGGCGGGGAGGCTCCGCTGTCCTCTCGCCCCTCGTACCTGTCCGGCCCCCCAGCTCCCGCTGCGACGGGATCCGGTGGGTCGGCGGGAGACCGAGCCGGTCGGGGTTTGCCCTGACGTTACCCCAAATGTCGGAACCCAAGTCCTTAGGCGATTCCTACCGCAGCGACCGCCTCTCTCACGTTCAGAGGGGATTTCCGGCCGGAGCAGGAGGGGGGCAGATTGCTTTGTTTATTTAAAACGGAGTCTTTTATAAAAGACCCTCCCCCACCCCCCCATTCAACCAACCAACCAACAAAAAGGACCACTGTGCGGGGTGTGTGTCCTTCCGTCCTGCACTCGGGGCGCACGCCACCGTCCTCTCCATCTGACCGCCGCCCGGCTTACCATCTCCTTCCAGAAGCTGCATGAGCCCATGTTTTCTCCTGGTTGAGCCTCTCCATTTGTCAGGACCCTGGTTTTCTCCGCTTGGGGAGGTCAGCTTCGGGGAGCAGAGGAGCGCCTCTTTCTAAAGTGCTCGGTCCCCGCGGGGTGCCCGGTTCTCTCTCCTGAGGACCCTCGGCCCTGGGGACCCCTCGCTGCCCCTGCTTCCGCTTTGCTCTGTGATTTCCATATTCGTGATGCCCTGGGTTCCCGATCCGAGTTGGTGTGTTTATGGCTTTGAGAGGCCGTTCCCCTTAGCTGCTGGGGTAGGAAAGGACCACGGAGGCTTGGGGGTGATATGATGGACAGCAGGAAACCGGAGTTGCAAAAGATCCTGAAATCCTGATTTCGAAAAGGCAAAATTAAAATTTCCTTTTTAGTCTGCTCGTAATTATAATTTTTTAATTGTTAAAATATTTTCCTCATTCTCCTATTGATAACAAGGCCCTTAGCCTCTATTATATTATGATTAGGGAGTCAAATAGATATGCTTATGTTAAGCTTCTACCACAGAAGGCATTGCGAAGCTTCCATTGCCTTTCCTGTCTGCCTGCCGGACCTGCAGTCAAATAATGCGGGATGTTTGCATGTCACACAGACACCCGGGGGGCATGTCCTTATTCCGAACAGTGTATTTCCAGGCATGGTTGTTATTCAACAAGTAGAGGTAAACGGAAAGATATTCATTATACACCAAGAGTGCTTACCGACGGGTTAATTTTGTGGGAAAGAACTCATGTTTTATTCTCAGTTTCTAATAGCAACGTACAAGTTCGCTTCTTTTATGTTCTTTATAGTCTTTGGTGTTAAAATAGTGTGGTGGCCAGTGTTTCCATTCAGGGTAGTATGTGGGCAGGTGGAATATTCAGCGAGAACTGGCATTTCTATTTACTTAACGTTTCCGTGTAGACCTACAACAAAGTTTTAATAAAGTTTACACATTCAGTGAGTATTTTGATCATTGATGGCATTTTGTTTTAGCTTCACTTTGTCACTCGATGACCTAGAGAGTCTGAACCACCACGGATGATAAGGAGTTGTGTCTTATTAGCAGTTCTCCCACTGCTCTGAATCGTTCTCTTTGGAGTAGGGAGTTATGACATGCTATTTGATGGTTGGCAGGGAGTTTGAGCTGCCTGCAGAGTTGCCCCAAACCAGGCCACCAAGGGAGTGCTGTGCGTTCTGTGATCCGGGAGCCACCAGCCCCGGCCCTGGACACAGCCCCGGAAGGGAAAGGGCAGCTGTTTTGGGGGCCCCAGACCCGACCCTTGACTGCTGTGGCCCAGGAAGTGGATGCTGGGGCCCTGGCTCTGAACACCCAGAATGCTGTCAGATCCGGGTTTGACAGGTACGCGCGTTGGGAAGCACGCGCCCAGCTGGTTTTCACGTGCAGGTCCGGGAGCGACTGGTCTGCGATGGGCCACACGGGGCTGCCACGCGGCCTTTTAGAGGAAGATCTCTCATTGAAAACGATGGATTGATGGATAGAGTCCGTTCCTGCTGCTGCCACGATGTCTGGCCAGGAGTGCGCACGCAGCTTTGTGGTGGTTCAGGCCTGAGACTCCGCCTCTGCCTCGGCTCAGATGCCGCCGGGCACTTGCTCTTTAAATCATTACTGTAACTCAGTCAGAATCAAGTCGATACAGAAGTGCAGCTATTTTATAAATAACACTGAGCAATAACAAGAGAAAATCCCACTTCGCAGTGGAAGAAACTGCGCATCTGAGTGTGCGTTTCTGTTCCATCCCAGCCCAGGGGTGCCCCCGCCGTGAGTGCTGCTCTCACCTTTGTGGCATCTGCAGCGTCTTTCAGCTGGGTGTGAAGGCTGCCACTTCCCGTGCCCCGGGGGGTGCCGTCCCACCCCAGGGCTGCCTGCAGCTCTGGCTCCGGCCAGTGGCACCCGCTTCCCGTCCTGCCTACCTGGCCGCGTGGACGGCGTTCAAGAACGTCAGGATGAGTAACCGGTTCCTTTTTCCATGACCGTCTTCTTTCCACTGATAACAGGCGGCGGCCCTCGGCCCCTCCATCCGCCCTCCTGTCAGGAGCCCAGACAGGCCTTCGCCTGCCAGCCGGGCGCCCTGTGCCAGGAAGCTGCCCGGCCGCTTCCGATGCCAGGGCTCATTTGCTCCCCTTTCTCAGTGAAGGGGAGTTTTGCTGGTGACCATTCCTAGGCCCACCTTAACACGGAATGTTTTAAGACGAGGCGCTCAGAAAAGAAGGTCTCCAAGTCCTGGGTCAAGTCCAGGCTCATCTCTAGGTCTTTTCCCAGCCAAGCCCAGGTCTGGGTCTCAGGGAGCTGAGCTCATCCCGGGGACTGGGTCTGAGGCGTCTGGCCTGGGAGGGGCGTGGCCAGTGGGAAGAGTGGCAGCTGGGGCTGCAGATGGGCACGGTGTTGAGTGGGGGCGCTGGGGCCCCTGCCTCCACGTGTGGTCCCTGATGCAGCTGTTGTGTTCGTGCGTGGGGTGGTCATCGCCCCACGGAGACGCGGAGGCCCATTTTCTCCCTGTGAGCGCTGACGGCACAGCGTCCGGTTCAAGCGAGTTTCACGTCAAGGTCTCAAGGTCGGCTTCTGTGAACTTGGGAGGCAGGAGAGCCTGGACGCAGGACGTGGAGCTTTTGGTCGAGGGAGGCTTCCCGCAGCCGTGAGATGGATGCGGCTGTGATCCCACTCACTCTGTGTTCCTTGTTGCCCAGCTGGTCCTGTGATCCCCCAGGTCACAGGTTGAAGAAAGAAATCGGGGGGTTGGTAGTAGTTGAAAGTAAGGAAACAGTCTGCACGAAAATCTCGCTTTGTGCTTCTAGCCATAGTTTGGTTTTTGTGAATTGCAGGACGTGGGAGGCACCAGGCTGCGCCATGCTGCCCACCCGGGGCCTGACCCTGACCCTGACCTTGACCGGCCTTTCCAGGCCATTCCCTTGTACTCCCCTCTGCTTACTCACCGCTGACCACTTTCCATTGCTCGATAAGTGCTCTTCCCTTTCTGGCTTCCCTGGCTCATCTGTATGTGTTTTAATGCGTTTTCTGCACCTCAGCTCTTGCCTCTCGAGGGAACCCGTCTTCATCCTTGAAGGCTCGGTTGCACGGGGGGTGCACGGACGGCTCTCTTTGGCCCTGCAGGCCTCCAGCTCCATCGCCTCTGCCCACAGCTGTGCTCGTCTCAGCTTCCTTCCTGGAACATGAGCCTCTGGAGGGTGTGAATCACGCCCTGAGCCTCGCTGTGTTTCCTCACGGCCATTCTTGTCAGAACTGGCAACCGGGGGTGGCCGTGCCTGCAGCCCAGTGACGGCATGGGCAGAAGGCCTGGCGCATGGTCACCGAGGCCGGAGGAGGGGTGACTAGGGGTCAGTGCAGGCGGTGAGGAGCAGGGCTGAGAAAGAATGTGTCACTCGTGAAGGGTTTTCGGCAGGAGCGGGTCTAACTTAGATTTCCATGTTAGATAGATGGTTCCGGCGAGAGCATGGAGGAGGAATTCAGTGACCAAAGTCAGGAGGAGCAGCTGAGAGTTGGAATCATGAGGGTCTGGGATAGGCAGAGAGAGGATTGGGAGGTGGACTAACAATTGGGGACTTTTGTGGAGGTGAGGGTGTGGCCTGGGAACCCCCTGGGTGACTGGTGGCAATGCCACGCCCTGGGGAAGGGTGCAGAGGGGCTCTGAGGTGTTCAAGATGCCGGGCCTCGTGGAGGGGGTGGTGGGTGGCCCTGGAGCCCCCGGTTCATAAAGCCTCAGCGTCAGGAGGCAGGTGCGCGGGAGGCAGGTGCGCGGGAGGCAGGTGCACGACG